AGTTGAGACGTATTTTGCTGATCTTCCACCTGACAATATCTGGAGTCTTTCTTATCAAAGATGTCCTGTCTTTGGACCAAAATCATCGTGATTTGAGGAAAAGGCATAAAGAAGAAGAATCTGATGATTCTGTGCTGCCATTGCCCAGCCATATTTCAAAAAAATTGGATGTGATTCTCGAGTGTATTGAAGAAATGATAGTGAGAGTGAACCTCGATTTCGTCCAAGATCGATGGAGTAGTTCTTATGATGATGCTGATGATGATGACGGCCCATCAACGAGCAACGGATTGAAGAGGAAGAGGGGGCCAGATCTGAGGGAGAAGAGTCGAGCTATACCAATGCTTGGTATTCTACAGGAATTAAAACTTGGTATTATCATAATGTTCAATTCTTTAACAAAAAAGGCAGAATGTAGCACTAATAATAATAATGATGCAGGCGATGAGAAATAAAATGATATTTGGTCTCCAAGAATAATTATTGTTTATTTCATTAAAAAATTACATTTCTTTTCCAAAAAACATTTTTTTTTATTAAATAAGTTTCTTCACACTACCGCTGAGTTAACTATACTCAATGATTCGATCGTGTAAGATTAAACAGTAGGCTGCTGTATTGTTGGGGAAGTCGGCTGATGACTCAAACTCTAGCCGGATGTCCTCAGGTCCAGATTTCAAGAACTGATTCTGCTTGGAGCAATCGATGACGATGAAAGGTGCCGTTTCCAAGAATTCCGCTCTGCTGAATAGTGGCTCAGGCTCTTTATGGTAATACGATGTTTGAAAGCTGGTGTACATGTCATAGAGAAGAGCAGACGGGTTGTGTGCAATGTCAAGATTCAGATTTCCATAGGGATAGCTTTGTGAATCCAAAAATAATTTGATCGCTCGAATGTTACAATGATCAAATTCGCTAGCATTTTTCAGGGGTTGATTCTTACGGGCTGTTTGAAAGCCTACAATGACATAACGAGGTTTCTCCAGTTGTGTTAAGGTTTTCACGACCCACACATGTTTCGATGTCTTAGGTAAGAGAGGATACTCATACAGTTCCCAAGCTCGAAAACTGATTGGCACTAGGTTGTCCTTTGAAATCTGATTGAGAAGTAGCACTTTTTGAGAGTCTGCAGGTTTGACGTAGGGAATCATCCAATCAATTTTGGTGAGGGAAATTTTGAACGTCTCTGTCTGCTGTCCAGCCGCAGGTGCTCCCTGAATGACGGCGTTGATATCGTTGTGTGAACGTGTCAGTATCAACTCATGCTTCGCATTCACAACAATTCTCTGGTAATCTTCAGCAAATCCTAATTTCATGCTGAGGGGAATGGATACATCAAAATATCCAGCATCATCAGTTATCTTCTCTTTATCAATTCTCTAGCCTGCGTTTTCCATGAGAAAGCCCTGACTGGGGCTCTGAGAAATGTAGTTTTTCATTAATGTTGTAAGACCAACATTTTTGCATCTATCAATTTCCACAACATTCAATTCATAACGTATTTCTTCGAATAAATGACAGATGGCATTGTTGACAAGTTCTGTGTTAGCAACAGCGGCATTATCTGTTTTCGTCAAACGGCCGCAGATATGCAGTGAACTCTTGCTTGGCAACAGACAGAGATCTTGATGTTGTACGGAAATACGGATTTCATCGTTGTTGTTAAAGGATGACGATGCGAATGGCTGATGAGCATGGATCTCATAATGAGAAATCGACTCATCAAAGATGATTCGCTTTTGAATATTCAACATTTCTTCCATGATAGACGATAGTAACAGCAGGCAAAAAAGACACAGCAAAACTTTACTTTGGCACTTTTTTGCGAAGTTTCAGACCCAGACTCTTCATGAACTTGATGTTCTGCGATGTCAGCTTCGTGAGAGGCACTCGACGACTGTCCACTTTCCGGCATGAGTCCTCACTTTTATAACTGCCACCGATCTTCTTCTCAAAGACAATGCCCATTTTCTTAATCAGCTCTTATATGAAGTCTCGCTGTGATGACTTCTTCACGGAAATTCACCAAACGATCGTCTTGGTCCACAATTTTTAATTGCAGGTGATCTATTGA